ATTCAGTTCGGTTAACCGATTAAGGAAAATTTTCTCGGTTCAAATCACTAGTCATCGCGCAAAACCAGGAACGGAATTTAACCAATTACTCAAGATTTTCTTAAAATGCAGGAAAATAATTTCTTTTCTAAAAATTTAAATTATATATAGATATAAATTCTTTACGCTTATTCATTTTAACCACAGTTCCTAAGTAATAATTAATTAACCATTTTGACTTAATATATTCCGTCAAAATTGTCCATTCTGCAAATTTTAAATACACTATCTGCCGATTATAATTAGGTTTTTTTTAAATAAATGTTACTGATAGTTGAAGTGTTATATACCAAGGTATTTTTAACGATGATGCTACAATTCATTACAATACAGCACTATTACACTATTGGTGTCTCAAATTATAGAAGGACTTTTTTTTTATATGATTGGCTGTTTAAATCAATTTATTTTTATATTATTTATACAGTTTAAGGTACTTTTTTAAAAAAATTAAACTACAAATAAATAAAAAAGTATATAGAAAGTTTTATTAGGATCGTAGGACTCCATTATTAAAAATAATCAAAATCCCTTTTTGTTTTAGAGAAGTTAGCATAATAACGACTTCTGAAAAATAGATAGAATTTGGTTATTATCATGCTAACTTTCTAAAATAGAAGAATTTTGATTATTTTCAATTGTAAGTCCTACAACCCTAATGAAACTTTCTACATACTTTTTTTTTTATTTATTCTTTGTAGTTTAGTTTTTGTTAAAATGTACTTTAAACTATAAAAAATGTAAAATTAAATTGATTTAAACAGCCAATCATATGAAAACCTTTCTCTGATGTCTCAAATCTAAATCTCAATTTGAAATTCAATCTATCAAGAATGCAATTATTATTGCTCAATCAGATGACAAATGACTTTATTAAAACATAATGAAAGCATATAGGAATCTGTTCACTATCATTCAGGTTCTAGCTCCTATAACTAAAACATCACATCTCCAAAGAAGACAATACTATTCGAACTAACCAGCTATAAACCCACTGAAATTACTACGCCTAATAAAACCAATAATCTTTAATCAAACTATAATGCCTAAGCACACACGTGATATGTCGTTGAGGAGAAAGATCTACATAGCTCAAAGAGAATCAAAGCTCAAAATCTATCTTATGTAGATTTATTATATTCGCAGCGCTTAATTACCACCAAACGAAGTCCCTGCACAATTACTGCAACTAGTGAAGGGTGATGAAATTGACGAAATTGACGAAATTTGGCGAAATAAGTATTTCGTCAATTTCGTCACTAGGAAAATAATTTCGTCACTTATAATTTCGTAAATTTCGTCACCCATCTATAACTACAACCGCGGAATCTAATTACTACAAGCAAGTTCTTACACTGTTACTTCAGTGTGGAGCTTAAAGTTGCTTACATTCACTGCAAAATGAGTGATAATAAAGAGAAAAATAACCACTCACAACTGAAACAATTTTTTAAATACATTGATTATCAAAAAAAGAGTTGTCATTCTGTTAACAAGCTCTTGCTACAATTTTATTTTTTTGTTAAAAAAAACCCCCGGTAACGGTAATGGACTTGAAAGAACTAGACATTCGTACATGAGATTATCATACGTATTCCCAATTTTAGACACAATTGGAATACACCAATCCGGTGACGAAGTAACACCATTAAATTACAGTTTAACCATATACTTCATGGTATCCTCGTACACGTCGTTGTACTCCGTTCTTGGTACGTACTGTACGATAACTTATATTTAATTTTATTGCTATAGAATCTTGTGCCTATTATGGTTGCACAAAGCATATCTACGTGACACTATTTTGGTACGTACGTACGTACGTATGTATGTATATAGTTTGCATTACTGGTTACTCAACAATGAAGGCGTTAACTGTTAAATAATTAAGGTACGTACGTACGTACGTACGTGCATATTTTTAAGGTAATAAAACAAAGAATCCTCATTATTTATGCATTTACTGTGAAAATAAAGATTATTCAGCGATGATCCGAAGCTAAATTATTCTAATTTATTTCTAAATTCTTAATAAGTTTGACAATTAGTTTCTATCTTCGTGCTGATGAAATTGTTAAAAAATATCCTAGAATACAGCCCAAATACTTGATCAAATTTCTTAGTATATCAATATAACACAATGAATAAACATTTGTACCAACAAAATTTTCTAATCACAAATAGTTACACTTTCTATTACAATAAATGATACTGATATATAAAAGAAATAATAAAACATATATAAACTTTCAAAGTTTTTTTTTGTGTTTTAGCAATTTTTAGACTCGAGCTTCAGTATAATGTATATTCGTAATTCGATATAAAGTAGATTTATACTATATATTTTAATAAGAAGGCCTCAGTGCTCCAGTCAACATTTGCAAAGGATAAAGAATACACCAAATCAATGTTTGCAAAACATAAAGAATGCCCCAAAGCAAAACATAAAAAATGATCCAAATTATTGTTAGCAAAAAATTAATAATGCTCCAAATCAATGTTAGCAAAATATAAAAAATGCTGTCAGCATCTTCATGAACATCAATGGGTTTATATCCCACTGAAGAAAATTTTATTGCTTCTTCGTCAAGATTTTGCTTTTCGTTAAGAAATTTAACATTGAAATCATCCAAAGATTTAGATTTAGACTGTTTCTCTGCTGCTAAAGAGAATTGTGCATGATGTTTTTCGAGATCTATGACTGCTTGTTTCAAATACTTCAAGTCTTCTCGTTGTGGGGCTATATTTTACTTCTTTGGCAACATCTCGTATATGATGACGGTACTCTTTTAAGAAGTTTTCAAATTTTATAATATTTGGTGCTAGTTCTTTCAATATTTTAATTATAGTTCGCACTCGTAAAAGTTCATCCTCTGTTTGCTTTCGCGTTATATGATCAGCAATCTTACCTAGCCAGTGTTGTTTTAAAAAATGTTCTGCTTCTCGTTCTCCATCAATCAAGTGCCCATGTGTAGTATCTGCACTAAGACTGACTGAATTAATAGCGGCAATAACTTTCTTAAGCTGTTCCTGAAATCCGGGTATCTGTTTTTCTAACACTCTGAGTCGTTTACAGATAAAGTTTGCTGAACTATCTGACAACGAGTGGCTATTTGATTTAATAACATATTTGAAAAAACCATATTCTAACCACTGCGATTTTTCAATTTCTTGTGTGATTGCTTTCATCTCACTTGCAAGTGAAAATAAAAAGCCTTTCGCTTGATGTCGAAATTCTTCAAGTTCGTCACTAGTTGCTTGAATTTCTTTATCTAACCCAAAAAGCACTTCTGAAATTCGTTTTCCATTTTTAACTATAATATCGCTTTTTTCCATTTTAACACCAAGGTCTCGAATGTTGACACGAAAACTGCTCATTTCACTTGTTTCTAAATAAATGTCACAAGTGCTAATTAGCTAAATTATGTAATTTATTTCTATTTTAAAATATATGTACCTGGAATTTCAAGTAATGATAATTCTTCTGATCCAGAATCTACTAATTTTACGATATTTTCAAAAATAAAACCTTTATTTTGAGAAATTTCTTGCTGAAATCGCATCTAATAGATATTATTAAATTTTTTTAGAATTTAACTTTTTAAAATATTATTTAATTGTTAATTCTTTCTTACTTTGATAACGACAAATACAGTAGTAAAATAATTAAACATATTGCTAATGTTCCAAATATTTTTAAAAAATTTTTATCAACTAGTTTTTTTAGGTGTTTCTTCATCCTTATCTTTTAAATTTTCGCCATTTAAAGCGGGTCGACGTTTTTACGTTGTCGACGTAGTAGAATTGTTAAGGGGGCTATAGATAACAAAACCATTTCAGCATTTTAGGAACAATTAGAAGTTAAAAAATAAAATGCAATTAATATATTTATTAGTAGCATTTAAAATCAGAGAAATGTTATCATTATAGATTTAGCCAAACTAGTAACGATAATGATTAAGCCTAATTTAATAACTTTTAAATGTTAATTTAAAGAAAATTTGGCATGGTCTTCATGATGTACATTATGAATTTAAAGAGTTGAAGAAATAATGTTGGCAAAGCTAATAGTACCTTCCCCAGAGCGCTCATCTGGATCTTTCTGCTCTGATTTAATAGCATTCAAACGCTCGTCTAACGAACAATTTTCAATATTTTTTTGCATGTTTACTGTTAACCTCTTTTAAGGAGTAATGGGCGGATTCGCCGATTTCCTGAATTTATTAAATACGTCGTACGTACGTACGTACCTGTGTTATATCCCCATTCTGTTATACCCCCATCTTAGTCATATCCCCATATTTGAGCAGAATAAATTTCCTTTTTTTATTGAGTTTAGTGTCTCCAAAACATTGAAAAAAGGGGTGATATCACTCAAGTACGTACGTACGTACGTATGACTGTACTCAATTCGTATTGCCTTTTAACTACAAATAGGAACAATATTTCTGCAGAAATTTTGCAATAGGAATACCATTTCTGCGGAAAACTTCTAGATTTTCACGTCACATACAGTAAAACCATCTTTTGATAAATTATTAAAAAAAAAAAATGACAAAACAAAACGACGAACCTTCTTCCAATGATACAGATTCGCAAAGAGATAATGCGGCAACTAATATTAAATCTAATGACCAAAATAGTCCCTCTACTATTAACAATGGTTCTAATACTAGCTGTAATTCTGATGACGATAGTTCTAAGGATGTTACTAGCCGCAATTCTGACGATAGTTCCAAGGATAATACCGGCTGCAATTCTGACGATAATTCCAACTCTGACGATAATTCCAAGGATGCTACCACCTGCAATTTTGACGATAATTCCAACCATAACGATAATTCCAAGAATGTTACCACCTGCAATTCTGACGATAATTTCGATAATTCTAAGGATACTACTAATTCTACTCTTAGCAACGGTGCTTCTATTAGTGAGCAAAATTCAGAGCCTACTAGTGATAACTATTTTCTTAATGACAAACAAAGTCTTAACAACGATACTTCTAATACTGAGCAAAACTCAGAGCCTACTAGTGATAACTATAGCCTTAATGCCAAACAAGGTCTTAACAACGATACTCCTAATACTGAGCAAAACTCAGAGCCTACTAGTGATAACTATAGTCTTAATGCCAAACAAGGTCTTAACAACGATACTTCTAATATTGAGCAAAACTCAGAGCCTACTAGTGATAACTATAGTCTTAATGCCAAACAAGGTTTTAACAACGATACTTCTAATACTGAGCAAAACTCAGAGCCTACTAGTGATAACGATACTTCTAATACTGAGCAAAACTCAAAGTCTACTAGTAATAAAGGTCAAGGCTCTCTTAGTGGTGATTCAAACAATACTGATAATTCGCGATATTTAGACCCAATTAAATCGATCGTTTCATTAGTTAGCATTAGTATTTTAGTTGCAGCCATCGCTATTATTTTCGGATTTGCATTTAATTATGAAGTAGGTTTGTCAAATATATTCTTATACATGTGTCTTAAACGATAATCTGATCATTAGCATATTTGGGAAATTTAGCCAATATTTGAAATATTCCTTCCGGTGAGATTTTAATTCGTTACTTTAAAGCATAAGATTTAGGCATATGATTTAACTTTTTATTATCATATATAACCTGTTGATTTGCCTATATTCAGAAATCTTATAAACACTACTGATTTGCTTTCAGGACAACTCGCTGAACTTAATATCCAGGTACATTATTTTTTAATTATTCCTGAATAATTCATCAGAAAGTATTTATAGAATCATTCCACAAAATAGCATCCTCTGTGATCATGGAATATCAAGTTACAAGTAAATATCTTGCTGACGTTATAAGCCGGCATGAATTATCCTCTAAAAATTCTGATAA